AGCTGGGAGTCAGGCCAGCGAGTGTGTGAGTGTGAGAAAGAGAGAAAGAGAGAGGGAGAGAGAGTGTGTCGAGTCAGTAAATCCTGTTTGAAAAGCCTTCTGAACTTCATGTCCTGTATCTCGTCTGACAGGTGAGCATGTGGCAGGGAGAGTGAACTGAAGTTATATGAATTAAATCAAACTAAAAGCCAAGTTGATAAGACTTTAAGTCTTAACAGCCACTGGCTCGTCAAACTATTCCACTCAGTGTTTTAAGCAGAATCAAATCAACCACAGTTCATTAAAAACATGTGAAATATCCAGCGCTGTATCATAAATACAACTGGACTTAGTTGAAGTTCTTGAAGACATTTCACCTCACATTTGAAATGTGCAGATCCAAGTCTCTCTTCCATCCTCTTCTCCCCTTTGTGTGTGTTTGTATGTTCTTGTTTGTCTTGTGTGTTTGTGTTTGACATGTATGTGCATGTTAGTGTGTTTATGTGGAGCTGGGTGTGGCTACACACACACCTTGCCAATCAAGCCTGCACTCCTGCTGCTTGTCTGCAATGAAGCCACCTAAGCTGTTTTCACATCTGCACTCCTGAAAATATCTAGATAATTTCAGGAGGACTGCTCCGGAGAATCTCCCGACCTGGCTGTTCACATAATGCACCTCACAGCTGGAGACTAGCCCTGTCAGAGGGGAAGGGGGGGGCCGCGGGTCTCCTGAGGTAAGACATGATGTAGATAAACAACGCGGAAGTAGCCGACAAAGCAACAGAGTCCGCTACACGACGCTATAATGAGAATATTTGCCTTTATATCAATGCAACATGTAGTCCAACAGGATGACAACATAAAAAAGAAGGGCAGAGAACAACATACTGACAAAAAGAAAACACAATGGCGCCGTTTAATAACATGCACAGAGTTCGCAGAGGTTGCCTGCATACACTCTCTGCACCGTGCAGCAGTCATAGAATATAAACATCAATCCCCCCCACCCACTGGCTCGAGGTGAATTTGTCGGAGAATATCCTGCAGGGTTCTCACATCAGCCCTCTCAGACATGCTGCAGAAAAAATACTAGGGGCCTGGAAGGAGAAACTCCGGTTGAAGCCTGAGCGAAACATTCGAGAGATTGTATTATTGTATCATACCAGTTTAAAATGCTGGGACATGTACAGTACATGCTGGGATACAAAGCTAAGTAGACCGGGGTAGCAGCATCACTTTTTACCATCTCCCCCCCTCTGATGAGATCACAGCTCAAGATTCATGGTTTTTCATCTTACATTAATTTTGATGTAGGCTATACTTTTTGTCTTTCTTTGTTCACAAGATCCACCGTGTTTTCATATCATGCAAACACCTTGAATCTCGTTTTTCCATTTGAATACATTTTCTTCCTCTTCCTCCAGCTCCCTCTCTACACAGCTCCTCCCATGGCGCCGCTGCTGCACTTTAGAGTATTTTCTCCATCTCAAGTTTTGATCTGACGTGTGTTTGCTGCAGCGGTGTGTTTGGCTGACAGTGGGGGATCTCCCACAGAACCGACACACAGAAACAAAGGTGCCCTTGTGTTGTTTAGCTCTGACCGCATGATTTCACAGAAGATAACATTCCTCTGATGTATCCACCGCATAGTTTCGTGATTACAGATACAGGAGTAACAGTCATTTGCATAATGTGTACTTGCCGTCGTCCACATTTTTTCCTGTCCTGTAAAACTTTAGCTTATCCTTATCCCGGCAAGGATTTTAATACAGAAAACATGCTGGTATGTAATAAAAACCTCAGATTAATATGTTAATGCCACAACCAACTGCGAGTTATGGTCCGTCAAACACTCACTCGGTTTGCATGAAGAATTCTTACGAGGATATTCAGAAGGAATGTGTGTCAGCTGTGAGTTCTCAGGTAAGACAAAATACAGAGCTCCATAAAAAAACAGCCCTGTTTCAAATAAAAAGAGACAATCTGCTTCATAAATGTCTAAACTTTCCTCAGCACAGCAGGATGGAGCTCCCTCAGCATAAATAACATCCTCTGTGGACATCCTCCTGCCAGTCAGGTGGCTTTGAAGTGCTTGTAAAGTACAACAGTTTGACATGTGATTAAAAGCTTTTGGTGTCACTGTTGATCTTAGGTCATAAATGTAACACTTAATTAAAGTCATGCGTGTCTACTGTTGACTGCTGGACAGGTAGATTCAAAACATGAAAGCTAACATCTGTTCATGAAGTACTTGCAGTCTGCTTAGATATTTCTTTCAGCTAACTGTTGATATGATGTTGATACGGTCAACCCTGAGATATAACTATGAACAAACATCCATTACACAAAGGACCCATTTAAAGATTTATATTGAGGCCATCAATGAAATGGAATTTGCCTAGTTACCACACATCTTAACAAGGAAACAATCTCTGTTATTTTAATGATCGATAGTATCAAAAAGCACCTGAAGCTTTAAAGAAACATCTATTTTAAAAGACAGGTGCCTAAGAGAAGAATGAGTCCATTGGCAGGCAGCAGACTCCACGAAACTGTCTAAATTAAACGTTGGCAATGTTTGGATTTGTGCATTGGATGGCACAAACGTCCAACCTATAATGCCCAATGTTGCCACATCTAAATATTGCCATTTTTTTTGTACGGTTAAGACAGTGTGACGGAATTTGCCTGCAATATGTGTTCATTAAAAACAATGCATTACCCAATATCAGGTGTCTTGGACGTCAATGTTTGTTGCCATGGTATTAAACCATTTGATTTTTACTAAAGTCAAAGTTTAATATTCTGGTATCAATTCAACTTAACCTAAGTTAACCGTGACCCTAACTTTGTGTTAAAACTCTTAAATCAAACATAACAATGAATTAAACTTTGTAATATATGCATCTTTTTGCCATCATTTTTAAGCATGATGAAGATGAAGAAACGTATCCAGGAGATGGAAGCAGTGATCACACTCTTTGTCTCTTTGAGTAAATAACGCATGGATGAACAGGGAAGTTGGATTGTGTTGTAAACGTGTTTCTGAATAACATCTGGAAAACACACAACATGCACGCTCCTGAAGGGTTGCCACACAGAAACACACTCAAATCCATGAAGAGAAAAATGTTTGAATCTTCATCAGCTCATGTCCTCTTGTCCTCAAATGTTCAATTTTTTATCAAGACAGATAAATAAACTATTTTCATTTGAAGTCCTGTAAAACAACATGATCAAATGTCTGAGTGATGCAGCAGGACGGATAAAAGCCCGAATATTCTCTTTTGGGTTTCTTCAGAACAAAATCTCCAATGGAGGAAACATATACTATATTGAAAGGGGAAGTGATCTGATGAAAGGACTTCAGGGGACTCTAAGATGAGTTACAAGTCCAATTCAAGAGTGCACACGCTCGTGAGCATCATCCCTCAACAACAGTAAAAATGTATCCCTGATAATCACTCAGAAACTCTGTCTGGTAACATCCAGTGAATAACTGTGATGTAAGCCAGACACAGACACAACATAGAACAGGCTTTGATACACCCCTGTGATCAAGGGAACGTCAGCTTTCCAGGAACTCACAAAGCAGCCCGACCGTCAGCATTCATGTGAAACTAAAACTTTAAATTCTACAAAGATGGACTTATAAAATGGGCAGGGGACGACAGCTATAATGACTAACCAGAGCTTCCATTTCACAATACTTATTACACATATTTGAGTCAGGTCTGAAAACCACATGACCACACTAACCTCACCTCCCAGGAGCCCGCTCGACTCATGTTACTGTACTTCATAAATCCTTAAGCATCCCGGTGGAGGGCCATTGTGAAACCGCAGTGACACAGCCCGTGCCTCAAATGACACATCCACAAAGCAACATGGCTTTAGTCAAACTGCAGTCGGCCCTTTTTTCCACAGCGGCCCTTTCCAAAGCTATCAATTACATTGCAACTACTGGATTATCTCTTGAAGATGTGGTTGAAGATCTTGAAGATGTTTCACCTCTCCTCCAAAAGGATGAGAGCTGAAGAAGCCTTTCAGAGGAGAGGTAGAACTTCTTCAATATCTTCAACCAGTCCAGTAGCCTTTGGATCAAGCTTCAAATTAACACATACTGTAAAATCCAGTTTATATTACCTGCTAGCTAGCAGCGACTTGCAAGCTGTCGCTAAAGTTAGACTCAAGGTAGATAGAAAATGAAATGCTGTAAAATCCAGATATGTCTCTGGTGTACAAGTCAAAGTCTGTTTTTTTCTGCAGGCTAAATCATCAAGATCCTGGTGGGATACTTCCATAGGTTGGGGAGTTCAGTGGTGGCAGCTGAGGCGGAAGGAGGCCTCAAAGGTTACAGGGCACATGCAGACCAAGGCACCGAAATTAAACGAAAATAAACAAAACGAAAAGTCGATTTTTGGGGGTTTCTGAGAGTGAATAAAAGTTTAAACTGTCTTCCTTTGTGATGGTTTCCAAAGTTCACAATCTGCAATTCCTGTGCAGCTCTGAAGCTGTTTTAGTATCTGTTTGGAGTTTGTAATCCTGCTAGCTACCTGTTCGCTAGTTGAGCTCTCAGCACAGGACGTTGATAGTTATGAAGTACAGACTCATTATCTGAGAAATAAATAAGTGAGTTTAAAGTGAGTGACTTAAACAGTATCTTAATAGTATTTTGCTAAATGGTTGAAACAGTTTGAATTACTTGTCACATGGTTAAAATATAAATAAATGAGTGGGTAATGGTTGAAGTAGTTATAAAAAAGAAACTGAGAAACAGCTTGAACGGGGGAATTTATAAAATACTGAATTGATACGTAGATAGCTCCTGTGACTCCTAGTGGAGGTGTTATTCTGCAAACTTGGGGGGGGGCTTGTTATGAAAGCCAAACCCAAACATTGGCATTTCAAATGGATGGAATTTTCTTCAACAATATTTACGCATATATAAAGAGTGTTGAAAACCATGCAGTGTCATTGATCATGAGACAGAGAATCTCTTCTCTTTAAACAGTACTCACATTGGTCTTGCTTGACACAGCAAATATGGCTCGGCTGGAGAAGCGGGCGGCTGAGGGGCTGCTGCTTGACACTGAGCCGGTCACCATGGAGGAAACTCTGGAGCCAACGGAAGGACTGCTGGAGCTCGGGGACGATGAGAAGGTCACAGGTGGGGACGCAGGACTGGACTGACTGCTGAGGCTGATGTGGTTCTGTCCCGGGCTGCCAAGGCTGCAGGACTGGATGTGGAGGTGACCCTGGCTCTGAGTGTGAGCTTCACCTTTCCCATAGATCACCTCCTTTATCTCCTGATGGTTCTCCTGAATGTCGCTCAGATGATTCTTGTGGTTCTGACCGTGACCGTTGTGGCCGTTGTTAAGCAAGCTGCTCCTGTCACACGTCATCCCGCTCAGGAGCTCCACCTGTCGGGTAAGAGCCTCCAGCTGGCTCCTGAGCTGCAGGTTCTCCTGCTGGAGCTGAGCCACAGCTCGTCCGAGGGGCCCGCCCAGGTTGGCCGTCTCCTCCAAGCGATGCTCCATGCCAATCTTAAAAGCGCTGACATCCACGTGGATCTCCCTGATGGCGTCCCGCAGGGTATTCTCAAAACGGGCCAGAGCATCGCACACGGTCTCTCCCTCTGGGGAGGAAGAGCAGGGGTGACACGCATCTCCCATCTCAGCCAGGGTCGGGGCTTCCATTGACCCTCTCTAAACAAGCCAGAAAAAGATCCTCTTGTCAGTCGGGAATGTATATCTTCAGCAGTTTGCTGAAGGTTTGGCTTGAGGGGAAGGGAAGGGGGGGGGGGTGGGCACGGGGGTGGTTGATGGACAAGGGTTGAGATGAAAGTTTGCAGGGGGGGAGCAAATGTCTGGTCTGTTTTATCGTCACTCCTTCAGCTTTTTCTCTGTTGTCTCAGTCTGCTGCTCCTTCAATGTGCCTTTCTTTAAAGGAGATGTCTCACTCTGTCGTCCGTCTGAAAGGGACCAGGTTTGACCTTTAGCTTGTGAACAGCTGTAAAAAAAAAACTTAAAAGAAGCAACCATCCACAGAAATGCCACAACCTGTGGGGAAATACGACTATATTAGAAAAGCGTCAAACTTTTACATAAAATGACTTCAGTCAGAATCTCCTGTGCGATCTAAAACACCTAAAACTGCTCTAAGTAAGTGGATTGCATTGAACCAATCAAGAGTATCTGTTATTAATGAGTCGGTGTAATGAAAAGAAAGCACACAGATATGTTTCCTAACAGCTATAAAAAATGAGCAGTGAGGTAATGTTCACTTACCAGATCTCAGCTCCACTTTCCCAGACAGCTCACAGAAGTTTCCTCAGCGCTGAGCAGCAGCTGTGAGAGTGTGTGTGTGAGCTCCGTTCAGGCTCTGGTTTGTTTAAACTCTCAGGTTGATCACTCCTCCGTGCCTGACTGGAGGAGGGAGGAGAGAAGGGAGGGATAAAGGGGGAGGGTGGTTGGTGGTGTTGGAGCAAAGAATCAACATGGAAAGAGTAGTAAATGTGAGAGGTGGAGAGGGGAGGAGGCAGGCTGGTTGGCTTTATGTCCCTGCACTGTGTAAATTATTACTCTTCACAACTCTTCTGCTGCTCCTCCTCCTCAAGGGATGGGGATCATTAATCTGTGTTGAAACTGATACCATTATAAAGACTCCTTAACAATCTGAGTCTCTATGGTACCACTATGGATACTTTTCTATTATTTGGTGGAAAGACTAGACAACTGGCATCTACTTTATTTTTCTGTGAAAACAAACAAACTTCTCCTCTGAACAATTGTAATCATTCAATTTTCTCAATAAAACCTAAGTCTTCTAACCCTTTTTCTAGACGTTACACATCATGATGACATTTTATTTACCTTTGCCTAATGGTCATTTTACTGACCCAACCTTAAACACATCACAACAATGTTGAGCTAGCTAACTAGCTTTTATTCTGCTGATTTCAACACAGGTTTCAACATTGGATTATTGTTTTTAACTTTCAGGACTTGCAAGTAGTTTGTGTTTTGTTTGTTTGTTTTATTTGGATCCCCATTAGCTTCAGCATAGCGAGAAGCTATTCTTCCGGGGTCTGCAGTTTATATTGTGACAATACATTTTACAAATTCATATTATATATTATTCTTTTCACACTACACAAACATTCCACAACATTTATTCAATAACTAAAAATAATAGACAATTGACATAAATGAACAAAAAACCTAAAAGAAAACAGACAAACACAAAGGCTCCGTCTATGATTTAACAGGAGGAAGAGGAGGAGGAGGAGGAGGAGGAGGAGGATTACTGTCCCACAGCAGCCTGAGTTGTTTCAACCAGTGTATGTTTGTGTACTAGTGATTGGATATCAAAGAAGTGACTTGACTAGACTATATGACATCACATTAAGGACCCACAAGATATAGCAGTATTGATAAGCTTAAATGTAATTGATTTTGGGGTTTTGAAAAATGTGGAACAGGGTCAGAAGAACTGTGTTTTGAATCCCCATCCTGAGACTGAAGTGGTCTGTGGAGGAACATCTAGCTTCATTTGCTCAGTTATTATGACACTTTATTGTTTTTTACACAAAGTAAAAAAAATACAGCTTGGTTTCTAGTAGCAGCTATAAAAGATAAAATACAATATCATTCACAATATTTGACTCCCAGCTGAGGCCTTTTTGTGTTGACGTGTTCTCCACGCACATGTTCACTCCTTCACTCCGGCTTCCTCCCACTACACTGGTAAGGATAAAGTCACTGTGTGCATCAGAAAGTGAACAGTAGTATGACTTAAAATTGGCCAAACTTGAAGTCCCATAACGTGTCAAATATAAACATGTGAGTTCTTAACGTGCAATAGAAAGAAACGTCCACTTTTTTGGGACGTCAGGGGCTCAGTACAATTTAGGTTTTAGTGTGTGTGTGTGTGTGTGCGTGTGTGTGTGTGTGTGTGTGTTTTTGTGCTTGTGTGTGCATTAGGGATTGTGTGAGAAATGACAGTGCAGCAGGGAGTGTTTGGAGATAAGGAGGGGGTTTGGGGAGCTGATTTACTGGAAGACTAACCCCCACCTTTCTGTCCCCCACCTCTCTCTCTCTCTCTCTCACTCTGTCACACACACACACACACACACACACACACAACCAACACACACACACACACACACAACCAACACACTCATATAACACCCCTCAGGGTTTTATGCTGAAGGCAGTACAAGACCCAGCGACAGATTACCACTGTAGGGGTCAGAGGGGGGAAAGTGGGACTGACTACTCAGGGCCCCAATGAAGGAAGGCTCCCTATTGGTCCTGAAATAAATCTGTAGTTTTTGTTTGGCTGTGTTTCTCCCTAAGAGAGAGCTGTCAGAGTAAAGGGAAACTGATAAATTAACATGTTGCATAACTCTTTCTAAACTCTTCAAATAAAAACCTCAAAAACATTCAAATGAAAAAAATGCATCTATTAAAAAGTTTAATTCTTTATTATTGTTCTATTTAAACTACAAATATTTTTAAGGGTCTGACACAATGTAATAGTTTTCCGCAGTAGTCATGATTGTGTAATTTAAACTTTGATTTGATTCTAGTAAAATCAAACAATATTGATATCTGTTTTAAAACCATGACAACAAAACTAGAAGTCCTAGACACCTAGCGTTGGCTCATTTCTTGTTTTCAATCAACAAAAATTGCAAGAAGACCCCTGCACACTGTTTATTTTGCACATATACATTGATATACCGAAATAAATGAACTACTGAAACAAAAGCTGTTTCTTGTAGCGGGCTGGGAACATGTCTATTTCTGCTGTATAAATAGACATTTTAATATGGGACCTAATGGGGATACTTTGGTTTTTGCAGACAGCCTCAAGTGGACACACTTGTAACTGCAGTTTATTTTCTCTACACCAGAGGTTGCAGCTTATATCCAAACAGATGTTTTGATCCTGACATCAAATCTTTGCATTCTTCCCTAGTGAAATGTTAGCTGAAAATATGAAGCATGTCCTGGATATTTTCTTGCTATGTTTTAAAAAAAATGGTTTCAATTTCAATATCTGTTGCTAGAGGAGGAAACTGTGAACTTCTGTTTTTTGTACTGTTCAACAAAAAACTACAACTCCCATGAAGATAACCTCAAAATGACTCAATTACATAAAATGCATCACATATTTTCTGTTTGAATCAAGGGATTAAAAATTCTAATGTTATTTTCTTGCTCTAGAAATTAGCTGCAAAACATCACGCAACAGCTACGTAGTCGTTGTAAAATGTAAAAGTACTTGAAAGAGTGTGTGCTACATGATGTCTGCTTGCTCTCTGAGCAGTCTTTTTGGGATTCATCTGACGAGAATACAACATTTATTTTTGTAAATTATAATGATTTTTCTGTGGTACAGTAAAAGTTTGAGGTTTGAATATACTCCTCGTTACCTTCCAGCTTCACTGATGTCCATGTTTCCACATTTTGGTTAGAGTTCAGATGTTGCTCTGTGATACTCTCTCTCTCTTTTTGGTTATGAAAGAAATTTCTTTGGAATCTCTCAGGGAGGGGTTAAAAAGTGCAACTGTGAAAGAAAACTGAAAGAATACAGATGTAATCCGTCCAAACAGATTTCAGGTGGAGATAAGCGCCTCCAGGTGCATCAAATGTTGCACAATAGTTAAAATCTAGGACGAGACAAACACTGTAAAAATGAATGACACATCCTGACGTGAAACTGGTTCTCACACTGGTTTGTCTTTACAGGAAAACATTATGACTGCATGATACGGCTCATAAAATGTTCACTGATAAAAAAACAAAAAACACATGAACCTTTGTAATCATGGGGAAATCAGAAACATGAATTTACATGTTCATGTTTGTTAGCATTGGGGGAATCCTATCCTGCTGTCAGCTTCACCAACTCTACGAGCATGAAAACATCACAATGGAGTCTAAATTCTCTTTTTGTCCAAACTGTAGAATAAACAATTATTCGCTCATAATTAACTCTCCTGATTTGAATCGTATTGAACAATTTACAACGCATTGCACCAGCTGCGTTTGCCTTTCTCTGAGAGGGCCTTCAGTATAATATTTAGAGATCATGCTGATAGACAGAGCTACTCAGGACTTGCCAGCGTGCAGACGTACAGGCATCAGCGTGCAGACGTACAGGCATCAGTGTGCAGACGTACAGGCATCAGTGTGCAGACATACAGGCATCAGTGTGCAGCTGGCAAACTGAAGAATTCAGAGCTGAATTCAAGTGAATCATTTCTGAGAGATTTTCATTAGACAGAGGTTAAAGTGCAGGGTGTATGCAGGTATATGGAGTAAACCACTTATTTTTCAGTCTCCATAGGAGTATACCATCTTCTAAATAATAAGTTACCTGAATTGCAAAACCAAAGTGTGATGTAACTTGTTACAACAAAAAAGTACACAAGTGCCCAAACCCACTTGGTGCTCTAGGCAAGATTTTAGCTGGTGCCCCTTGTATCCCATCTAACTCTACCACCAATCACAATGTTCATACACTTACAGAAAACTGGCATTCAGCTTCATGTTTTACAGCTTTTCTTAATTTAAACCTGATATTTATCAGTATGGTCAGTGTCACTCACTCCTGATAACTCGTCTGCCCTCCTTCCTAACAAAGAGCGGGTAACAAGCAGCAGTGAGCAGGGACCAAGAAAATACCACCTTTTTAAAAAGGTGATGTAGTTCTGTTGTCTTGGTTCATTTTGTTATATTACCTAATTATACTATTAAAATTAGCTACAATAACATTAAGTGAAAGTTTAGCACCATCATGTTTCCTTCTTTTTCTTCTTATTATCTTCAACTTTTCTTCCTCACTCATTTCGGGTGTCAGGATACCCCCTGGACGGCCAGTGACTATATCCCACGGGCTGGCCCTGCTAGTGCACGTCTTTGTAACACATTTCCCCAATAAGGAAAAGTTCGCTCAAAATGTAAAACTAGGTTGTCGCAGCCTATAGTCTGTTGGTCAATTAAAATCCGCCCCTCTTCTGTGGTTAATGTTAATCTCATAATGATCTACTCCCTTAAGTCAAGTTGCAGAAGTTGAGTGTCAATGTGCAAATACAAAAGTCCATGTAACCTTGGTAACCTCAGCATCGTTAACAAAAACAGGCTGGGAAATATTGTTAAACTTTGTCGAAAGATAGTTGGAGTTGACTTGAATGATCTTGGTTATGTTTTTAAAGTAAGAGCCACTCGAAAGGCAAAGGCAATCTTGGAAGACCCTCAGCACCCCCCTGCATGCAGAGTTTAGACTTCTGCCGACAGGGCGGAGGTTCACTTATGTGAGGAGGTCGAAATCAAATAGATACCTGAGGTTGTTTGTTCCATCAGCTGTTGGGTTTTTAAATAAGCTGTTA